CCAACTCATAGTGACCCCCATTGTATTTCTGAAGCAGCAAATCTTTACTGAAGTAGATTGCCCCATCTTCTTTACGCTGAGTGGCTGGTGGGTTAGTAGTCAAATGCCTTAGGCACTGTGCCACCAGAGCCCCTTACCTGGCATGTGGTACAAAACCAAACCAAACTCACTGCCGTTGAGTTGGATCTGATTCATAGTGACCCCTCCCTGGGTTTCCAAGGCAGTATCTCTATGGAAGTAGATTGCCCAACCTTCTTTCTGAGGTGTGCCTAGTGGGTTTGAACTGCCAGGCTTCTGATTAGCAGTCAAACGCCTTAGACACTATGCCACCAGAGCTCCTGGCACATGGTGGGTACCTGATAAATGCATGGTGAATTGACTGAGTATCGTCATGAGTGGGTCTCCCCCCACTTCCCCACCACCCCTACCACCTGGCTGGAGAACTCACGAGTCCACTGAGTGGATGGTCTGGTTCCATTGGTGCAGGCCCTGTCAGGCCCCTGTCCACACCCAGCCATGGTGGAAGGGTGAGTAGAGAAAAACATGTCCCCGATACAGCATGTGCAGAGAGCTTATGGTCAGCTAAGGTCTCCCCCATGACCGTGAGGGTCCTTTGATAAAGGTTTACTTATTCCTCATGACAGAGAAGACATTGTGGGCCAGGGAGGTATGGTGACCTGTCCCAGACCAGGGGCCCAAGACCAGATTCCCACCCTCCCCCACCTGTGGCCATGCTGGGTGTGGGCACACTGTGGGAATTGGTTCTGATCAGCTCCATGACCTGCCACTGGGTGGGAATCAGCCTGGTGAGAATCAGGGAGGGCTTTCTGGAGGAGGGATCACATAGGAGCCAAGTGTTGAAATGAAGTGGAGAGGGTTAGGAAGAGGACCCACGGTGTTCTGTGGGCTTGGAGCTGGGGTGGGGATTAGTAGGGGAGACGGCGGTAGATGGGGTGCCAAGTGTTCCACACACTGGCTGTCAGCACCTGATTGGCCAGTCGGGAATTAGCCTGGGTACCATCTGGACCAGAGGGTGAAACCCAGCCCTGTGGGGAGTATACTGGCAGGGTCTCCTGCCCCTTTGTAGGGTCTTAATCATTGCAGCCTAGAGTAGAGAAAGGCACCCGAAATGCCCAGGGACGACCTCCTCCGTGAAAGGTGCCTAAAGAAGTGTGCCGTGTGCAGAGCCCCCACTTCCCCAAGGAACAGGCCAGGGACTCCCAGCCCTAGACTAGTCTGGCAACCAGGCCAGGCTTGGCCTCTTCAGTGGTGCCAAGACCAGGGTCTGCCTCCTAGACCAAGAGGTTAGTGCCATGGCTGGGGGACAGGTCAGGTTGCTGAGAAGCACCGGGAGTGTGCCATACCAGGGAATGTGGCAAATCCCCATGGAGGAAACGTGAGCCAGGACTCAAGGCTGTCAGCAAGAAACTGAGGCCCGCGGCCAGACACCAGAGGACCAGGTGCACGTGCGACGCGTATACCTCGAGGCTGGCCTTTCACCGCAATATCACAGGGGCAGCAACTTGAGGCGGCCCCACCCCGCCAGGGGCAGAGACGGCACCTAGGCACTCCCCACATTGAGGGCAGAAGGCAGAGGCTGTGTGGGGAGCTGGGGAGCAAAGCCCATAACCCTTGGTGGCCAAGCCATACTGGCCAAGGTTATCAGAGTGAGTGCCTCTGTCGTCCAAGCTGCCTCGGATACATGGCTTCAAGCCTCTGGGCCTCGGTTTCCTTGCCTGCACACTGGGGCATCCGAAGTGCCTTCCTGGGGGCACATGCTCGAGATGGCACTGTAACGGGCCACGTGCTGCTCGGGGCACAGGCACAGACAGGGCTACTCTGGCCAGGCCACCGCACCCTGCCCCAGGTGGCTGAGAGTGGAGGTGAGGAGGGGCCTTCACCCCAGGCTGCTGTGGCTGGCCTCTGGGGCCAGGCTCCTACAGCGAACAAACACTTACTTCCCTCTAAACATGTTTCCGGCATGTTCGCAGTCTCACTGGAAATTACTCTACCATCAGCTGCTGAAAAGTGTGCTTTTTCTATTATTTCAGAACTAATTTTAAGGATTAAAAAATAATTCTTTCAATTACCGTGCAAAGCTCCAGACAGCCAGAAAAACAAGAGCAGGAGCCTAACGGACATCCCAGGGAGGTCCCCAGCCCTGCGGAGTGTCTGGGCACTTGTGCCTCATCTGCCCTCCCAGGGGCCCCAGGGGTTGGAGTCATGGCTGAGAAGTGACTCTCGGAATCTCCCCCAAGACAGGCGCCTTGGAGAGGGCCACTTGCTCCTGCATCCATCCATCTGTCCCTGAGAGGCAGCGCTGCCCTAGCTGGGGCCCGGAACAGCCTGTGAGCCGTGATGGGTTCTGAGCCGGCAGCCAGCATCCAAGGGCTTCATGCGCTCGACACGCTTCACTCAGCTTTACTTAGCTTCCTCGAAGGCTTCAGGGTTCAGGGTACTGAGGCTGAACACTCACCCCTACGTTGTTCAGTTCCCAGCCTTAGGAAAAAGCTGGGTCAGGGGTGGGTAGGCGGAGCCAGTGAGGGGCCGGCATGGGAGCAGGTGGGAGTTGAGCCCAGGGCACCGGCCAGGCTCTCCTTCAGCCCAGCTGCCCAGCAGGAGGGCTCCCTCCCATCCCTTCCCCAGCCGTCTTCAGGGTGAGCTCATCTCTTCCTGGGCTGTAAATATCACCCAATGCTCACGACTCCCAAATGTGTCCTCCAGCCTAGACCCTCCGGAACTCAGCCAGCACAGCCCACGTGACGCCCCCGCCTAGCTATCTCTCGGGCCTTGACAACAGACGGGCGCTCCTCCTGGCGTCCCCACTTCCAGGACCAGCGCCCCTCACTGGCTGCTCAGGGCAGACACCTGAGCCGTGCTACTGTGCCACCCCACCCGTGTGTTGCTGCCAACTCAGCCTCCAGCCACTCTGCCTCGATCCCTCTCCTCAGCTGGGCCGTCAGAAGAGGCTTGAACGCCTGTCCTCTCCCCATGAGTGGCTTGGTTCTTCTTTGTGGGGGAAGGCATGGAGCAGTCAGTGGGGTGTGCAGCCCTGAGGGAAAAGAGCCGGGGTGTGCCAGGAGTGTGTGTGCGGTCCAGGGGTAGGACCCAACGAGGGCAGGTCATAGCATGCCTCAGGCAACCTTGCCAAGCACTCCCTATTCCGCTTGTGCTGTCCAAGGCCCCTTCTCGGCGCCCAGGTCCCCACCCCCAGGACTGGTGGTGACAGTGCCCCTCTGGGGGGACAGCTCCCAGAGGCAGTGTGTACCCTGCCCTGGGAGGAGTCGTGCAGCTGAGGCAGCTAGCACATGCAAATAGGTGTCTGCGATGTCTCAGTGCTGATTCACCTCCTGGGTGCCAGGCGGGCAGTGCAAGCCTGGGGGGTGCCATGGTATTCAGGAACAAACCACCCCCCGCCATCTCAGCTCAGACCTCTGCCTGCTGTCCCAAATCTAGTTGTTTGGCTGAGTTCTTGGACATGGTGAGGGCTGCTTGGGAGAAGCCTGGGCAGAGAAAGCCTGTTCGTGCTCCCTGCACCTCCACAACGTCCAGTCACAGGCTCGCTGACTCCCGGGCTGGCTGTGCAGCCTCAGGGGCCGGGGGCTCCAAGGAGAGCTGCTCACGGGCCTGCAGGCACATGGCAGAGACTGCAAAGACCCAGATACCAGAGCCTCCACAGAGCTGGGGTTGCCTGGGACAGGGAGGGGCAGAGGAGCCATGGGGTCCCCCGGGGCCCAGAGGGGCTTGGGCAAGCAGTGCCCCCTGCTGTGTAGGGACTGGCTGAGTTACCCTGCCTGAGGTCCTTTGGGCAAAGCCAAACGGGTTGGCTCAGACTTGTCAGTGTCCACCTTGCACCTGGCCCACTGCTCTTTGGGAAACGGCATGAGGAGATCAAAAGAAGAGGTGGTACACATGCAGGGCCTTGAGTAGGGGTGGGGCCAGCCCTGCCCAGGCACCCTTGGGACGGACGCCCACAGGCTGAGTGAGCGCTCTGAAGCACCTCTTCCCGTGCAACGCAGCCTGGTGGGCCCCAGTGGCTGCGGTCTGAGTCCCCCACCTGGAGCAGGGACACAGAGGGCTTGGGGAGGGGTTGGGGGCCTTGGGAGCTAAACTGTCCCTCCCCTTGCTCCCCTTCCTCCTCCCTGCAGCTCCAGGAGCCCCTGCCACCCCCCTGGCCATCTGGCTCTACCAGCTCCGCTCCCCCCCACTCTGTTTGTCTCCCGCTCTGCTCCCCTCCCCCAGGCCCTGCCCTGTTGGGGCGCCTCCAGCAGCCACATGGTGCCTTCCCTTTTGTTTCTCAGTCCTCACAGCCCAGGACCTGAAAAAAAAAAAAAAAACCATGTGTGCATGTCCTTGTGCAGTGGAGTCTGTGTCCCTGCGTGCACTCGTTTCATGTCCACGTGCATGTGTGTGAGCTGTGTGCACGTGCTGTGTGTGCACTCGTGTGTACAGACCCATGTAGGCTGTGTCTGGGGTGAGGGCCTGGTGGAAGAGGGTGTGGATGTGGCGGGGGGTGGTGTGAAGCACATGTGGGTCAGCTGGTTCGAGGAGGGAGAGGTGTCGTCAGCCTCACCCCCAGCCCCGAGGTGCAGCTGTGAAAACCCCGTAGGGGCACACGGAGGGCTTAGACAGCCCTCTCTGTGCCCATAACAACTCCCAGCCCGAGAGGCCACAACTTAAGAAAGGAGCTCTTTATTCCACGTCGTCCGATATTTTTACACAAGTAAAATAAAATGCATATCTCTATGTTCTGCGATCTGGGTGGGAGGCGGCGTTCTGGAACAAACGCTGCCGCACCCTGTAAACATGATGGGGTGGAGATGGGAGGCGGGCGGGCGGGCGGGCAGGGAGGCGTCCATCAGGGAGGGCCTGCCCTGCCCACGGGCTGCTTGGTGCTGATGCTGGGCTGGCAAAAGCACCCGGCCCCGGCTGGCACATGGAGGGAGCCCGTATGTACACACACCTGGTTGCAGAGAAAGGCCTTGTGTTCTAGGGGCTGGTCAGCAGGGCCCGATCACTGTCCACAGTGCTAGCACCAGGCCCAGGGGGGCGAGGCTGCAGGCGAGGCCGGGCAGGGCGCCCGAGCCCTCCGTGTCACCACCCCCACCACCCCCACCGCCTGCCTGGCCCATACGGCAATGGCTGCGGGTTCGGTTCTTTCGAGAACAGCCTGGCCTCCGGCGCGGGCCTGTTGGGGGAGGTCCTGGAAGCTCGGAGCCCTCAGGCTGCAGCCCGGGAAGTGGGGGCTCGGCTGAGCTGGGCAGAGTCCCAAAAGGGGAGTCATTGCTGTGCCGCGGACTGGAGCCGTTGCCTGGGGGGCTGTCGCCAGGAGGCGCGCGCCCCTTGAGTGCGTTGCCTGCCGACGCCGGGCTCCCGGGCCCCAGCACTGAGGCTTTGTCCACCGCGTCTGGCTGGCAGCACTTCGGTAGGCCTGGCAGCTCCTCGTCGGTGGGCCCGCCGGTCCGGATGGGACGGGAGGGCCTGGTGGCCACGGCACAGCCCTCCAGGTCAGCGGCAGCCAGACGTTTGAGGTCACGGCTGGCCAGACGCGGGGGCAGGCTGCAGAGGAGCTCGGACGAGGAGCCTCGGAACTGCTGAAGCCAGGCCCAGAGTGGGCGCGCCCGGCAGTCACACACCCAGGGGTTGTCGTTGAGCCTCAGGTACTGCAGGGCACGCAGGGGCGCCAGGGCCTCGGCAGGCAGCGCTGAGAGATTGTTGGCGAACAGATAGAGTGTCATGAGGCGGCCAAGGTCACGGAAGGCGTGCGGGTGCACGCGGGCCACGCGGTTCTGGTGCAGCAGGAGGCGGTCCAGGCTGTGCAGGCCCCGGAAGGCGCGCTCGGGCACGCTGGGGATGCGGTTGCCATGGAGGAAGAGGTGTGTGAGGTTGCCCAGGTCGCGGAAGGCGTCGTCGGGCAGTGCCTGCAGCCCGTTGTCCTGTAAGTAGAGGTACTGCAGGGCCACCAGGCCGTGGAACAGGCCCGGGCCCAGCTCCTGCAGGCCGCAGCGGTCCAGGTGCAGCGTGTGCAGGCGGCTCAGGCCTCGGAACGTGGCAGGGTCCACAAAGCGCAGCTGTGCGTTGTCACTGAGATCCAGCTGCTCGAGGAGCGTCAAGCCCGCGAAGGCGGCAGCGTCAATGCGGGCCAGGGCGTTGGAGTGCAGCCACAGGATGGTGAGGTTGCGGCAGGCGTGGAAGCCAGCTGCCGGCACGTGCACGATTCGGTTCCCATGCAGGAAGACGCGCTGGCTGGCGGCTGGGATGTCAGTGGGCAAGGCCTGCAGGCCCTGCTGCGGGCAGCTGGTCGTCACCTTTGGCTCATTGTAGCACACACAGGCGCCTGGGCATGGCGTCGCCACCTGCCACGCCTGCAGCCACAGCAACCATGCCAATAGCTGGCTCCCTGTGGGCAGAAAACAGGCGATTAGGGGGGCAGGTCCCTGAAAAGCCAGGGATGCTGGGGCCATGTTAGCCTCTGGGATCATGACTCAGGGGGAATGGAGTGGGGTTCAAGAAACAGCAGCCACTGCTAGGAATCGGAGCTGTGCTTTCTACTCAACACACAATGTGGAAACTGCTGCTCCTAGCACACCATGGGACCCACACATCCCACTCTGAGAAACCCACCTGCACACCCCACATCACCCACCAAAGCCCAGAGTCAGCCCATCCGTCTCCTCCAGGGCCAGCTGCAGGCCTCCTGGGACTAGGGCTCATGCCTTCAGTCTTGGGACTCCATCAAACACAGAGTTCCTGGGTCTGACTGCCACTCCCATTGGTTCCTGCACTGTTCCTGGTCTATCCCATCTCCCCAGCCCTCAGACCAGGCTGGGAGAGGGTGAGTGCTGTGGGGACCAGGCCGGCCGTCCACGCTCAGCTCATGGCTTGTGAGGAGGCAGGGCTGATGAGGCAGCCTCTCCCAAGGACCCTCCTGGGCTGCAGGAAGAGAGGGGCTGTGGCTCAGAGCCCATGTCCCACTCAGGCCCACGAGCTGTTGAGGCCATTCGGCTGCCATTCCTGGAGAAGTTGTCATCCAGCCTGTAGCTGAGCTACTGCAGGGGCTGGGTTGTCCCACCCGCAGGGCTTAGGAAACACTCCCATGTGGACTAGGCTCCTGTGTCTGGGACCCCACAGGGCTCTGGGAGGGAGAGTGAGACCTGCCCCACGTGCCTGCTTCCCAGGCAGGCTGTCCCCCCTCTATCCACGCCTCCCCCTTGCCACCTTCTGTAAAGCGCTTCCTGCTTTGGTGGAACACTTCCCGCAGCCTCCTCCCCTCGGCCTCATTCTCAGCTTGATTTCCTCCTGGAGCAAGTTCACTCCTTCCCAGCCAATCCCTACACAGCTGCCCTCTGCCACTGCCCTCAATTCCTCCCGCCCAGTTGGTGCCCTGCCACTGGGCAGTGGTGGCTGTTGGGCAGTGGTGCCCGTGGTGACAATGTCTGTACCTGCGCCTCCCCAGGCCACCTTTAGTACCTGAGGCTCAATGACAACCCCTGGGTATGTGACTGACAGTTCTTCCTCAGTCCTATCCCACAGTGGGGTTTCATCAAGACCCCTTCCGAGCCGGAGAGCCCTCCTGGGTCACTGTGTCCAGCCCTGGTCTCACCCGCAGGACACAGACTCCAACACTGAACTTACTGCCTATCATTCCACCATCAGACCCTCCCCCCTTGAACCCTGAAGGTTTCTCTCTGCCTTCAGGAGTGAGTCTATTAAAATGTGAATCCCCCTGGGAGGGTTATGGCTTATCAGCTAACACTTATCAGCTAACACCTGCACTGACAGCTAACACCTTCCTTGGCAGCTAGCTAAGAGCAGGATTCTACAGACGGAGGCAGGCTAAGTGCTAGGGCTGGAACAAGGAGGAAAAGAGAGGACCCCAGCCAGCCTGCCCACTTGGACAGGACCCTGGGCCCGTCCCATCCCTTCCTGCACCCCGCTCAAAATGCCACACTGCTCCTTTCTGCCTGGGCTGGCACAGATGCTCACCCCAACCTGGCAAACGCGGGGACCAGGCTGGCTGCACCCATGTCATTACACATTCACATCCTCCCTGACTCTGGGACGCTGTCTATCCTGGCCCCCTACAGCCCGGGGCCTCTCTGCCTCCACAAGCTGCTGGGGCTGGAGGCTGTTTGTTGTACACCGGGGAGAATGGAGCCCTAGGATGGGGGTCCAGAAAGCCCTAGAACCTGGAGCGCCCACCTAGGCCGGCCGGCATAAACCACCGCACCTTCCTGGGCGGGCCGTGTGCGTGGGAGGCGGTGAAGGTGCATCCTGGCCTGATGTTCTATTTAAACGGCTGACACCCTCTCCCTACGCTCCTCACTCATGTCTGTCCGGGAAAGTCGGGCTGGATTATGCCAGCTCTCCACCAGTGTCTCACCTGCTGTCACGGGAGACGACTGTGCTATGTAAACAGTACTTCCTATCCCCGGGACCTGCTCGGCACAGGCAGGCCTGGGGGGGTGGGAGCCATGGCCTCCAAGTCAACACTGGGCCTAGGACCTCAAAGAGAAGGGTGGACCAAGCCACCAGTCATACCACATCATGAACATGCCACATCACTGCACCACATCACCAAATGGGCCTTGTCATCAGAGACCAAGCTACCTACCTGGCAACACTGTGGGCCTCCACCCCACACTGTGACCCTGACGCCACGTCATCGATGCAGACATGTCACTCGTAGGACCATGTCTGGGGGGCTACCTGCCTGAAGATGTGCTCTTTGAGCTCGGCCAGGCTCGAGGCACAGCTCACAGAATCTGCTAGAACTGAGCAGACCCTCCACTCTGGCCTCTGGCCCCAGGCCCTCTGCAGCCCAGGCCCCCAGAAGGCCATGTGTCGAGAGGCCTCTTCTCTCCTGTGGCCATGACACCTGCTCTCAGTGACCAGACCAAGGCTCAGAGGCCGAACCACCATGCCATGGGGCGGTGGTCTGGTCCCTCCGCGTGGCCCGAGTCAGCAGAGTGGGGTTACGGAGTGGGGGGCAGTGGCTCCTGCTCTGCAGTAATTGTCTCTAGCCCTCTCCCCTCCTCCCCCTGCCCACTGGTCTCCATGGCAACACCTCCCTCGGAAGAGCAGGCAAGGGACATCTTCCTGTGAAATAATCAAACCCAACTTTGTGTAGTGGCTCAGATTCACACCAGGTACCCTTGGGACCATGCCTTGTGGGCCCCCAGAACGTAGTTCTCGGCCCCTGCCTTGCCCTGGAAAAGCTGCCCCGGACCACCCAGGCCTGTCCAGCCTCCACCTCTGAGCCCTCCCACCAGCCCCACCTGCCCACTCTCTCTCTCCAGCCCTAGCCATCCGCACCAGCTCCCCCACTGAACACTCACCCGAAGTGGTAACCCCAGAACACGCAAGACAACGGCGCTCCCAGAAATCAAAGGTGCCGCACGCTCGCAGACCACCTCCACGTCGGCCACAGCCCTGTGCCAGCCGGGCCCTTAGCCACCGGGGCCTCCTCCTGAGCCTGCCCCAACCGGGGTCCCCACGCAGCTGCGCTGGCTCCTCAGCCCGGGGCCACAGCCCTGCCCCCCATCTTAGAAGCCCTCTCCCCCCACCCCTACTCCACAGCGGCCCAGCCCGCTCCACTTCCTTCAGGGCAACGGCACTGGTCAGAGGCCACAGAGGCCACACTGGCTGTCGGGCTGAGTCAGGTGAGGGGCTCTCCCCAGGTGGGTCTCACGGGCCCCGGCCAGTGGGACAGAGTGCTGTGGCCAGTGGGACAGGGGTCTGGGAGATCGCAGCCGGGACCCTCCAGCGGCAGCCAGACAGGCTAGGAATGGCAGTGCTCTGGGCCTCAGGGGGTTTCTAGAGAGAGAAAACTGAGCAGACAATGAGGCCGCAGGACAGGGCCAGAGCCCAGGGATGGAGAAGGGGACCTGTGGCTTCCGGCAGGCAGCAGAGGGCCTGGGTGTGCCCATGGGGCC